TAGCTGATGTGTTGTCATGACGACTATAGCTGGTGTGTTGTCATGGCGACTATAGCTGGTGTGTTGTAATGACTATGTTTACTAATGTGTTGTCATGATTTAAGTTACGGATGTGTTGTAACGAGTAGTTACGTATTTGTTAATGTACTTAATTACATCATACGTCTATAATTTCGCCCGGAGTATAGAAATAGCTATTCGTGACTTTTTCCTTACGGAAGCGCTATATTTATCGTCTATATTAAGCTTTGACATCTTCGTGATAATGAAGGAACGTTGCTATAGAAATATCCAACGCAAATCCAGGCTTAATGACGATATTTTCGCTTAATTATTAGTACCATGTATCCTTTCGCGCTTTGTATTTTACACATTTGAAGTTTGGTTGTGGTTTTGCCAGTTACACGATTAATTACGTCTATTCATTGACGAAATGAGAATCTAAAGACCAAAATTAGATTCTTGAGACGGTATTTTGAAAATACATAATTAATATACTTTTTCTGAAAAGAATAATTTTATGTGGCCTGGTGTCGCTTAATAGTTCATCGCATATAGAACAATTATAATGTCGCAAAAATTGAATTGGCATTTAAGGAGATATAGCTGAACCAATTCTCCCACATTGCGCCTTTTTATTCATTTATTTAAAGAATTTTAGGAAGGGGGTTACAACTGGTGTGTAATAAACTTTTGGCATTTTCGTGGAAGGTTTTCATCATCGTTAAAAGATAACTGTAAGTTACTGATCAAACCCTTGCTGTTTACAAACGTTAATTGGGATCGTTAAAATGGTGCCATGTCGCAGCCCTTTAGTGTTACAAAATCAATTCTTTTAAAATGAGTCATATCCGTGCTTCTTTTGGTAATAGCTAAACACTGTTACACTAAGTCACAGTATGTTACATATCGTTTTAGTGTGTAACGAAACCCCAAATATCATCTTCTCAAGGTCTAGAAACAGCGGAAGCTTGTAGGATAAGAAGCGGATAATTTGCGGGCAGTAAACTGTACAATTATTTAGAAGGCCTTGTTAAAGATATTGTCCGAGACCTTGTTTGATTGTAAGGAACGGCTTTAAAGCTAGGTGGTGTTGGTATAGTCATGTGTCGGTAAATATAGGTGTCGGTATAAACAGTTGGCAATGATTTCACTTGTCGGTAATGAAGTCCTGTTTTCACTGTTAAAAATATATGCAGTATAGTTTCCCCATCATTGTGTTATCATGACAATAGCTCTTCGTATGTTGTCATGCTTTTGTAACTATATAATTATTCATGTTTTGTTGTGACCATTGATGCCGGTTATTTGTCATAACAATATATAATGATGGAGTGTTATGTCTATATTAACTATATTAATGTATCACGTGGTTAGTTTCTTATTTGTGTTGTTGCTATGGTAACCAGTTTGCTGGCCTGACTAGCTACTGTTTTGTTGAGCTCTCTTTGTATACACTTAATGGTAAAGTCAACAAGACTTCATTCGGTAAGATGTCTTTCCTAAAACTATAGCGTAACTCTTCGTTTGAAACTGCTTCCTATAATAAAATGAAGTTCACAACCATCAACTTCCGGTCTGAAAATTTCACTACGTGTGAAATTGGTTGAACAATCATCGATAACCAGACTCGATGATTGAATAAGCAAAGTATTTTTAACCAAAAATATTTTATTTTATAAAAGCCGGTCATTTTTACTGTACATTTATATTATTATTCAATAATAGAAATATTGTCACGGCTTGTAGACAACTGACATGATGCAGATCTTCCTAGTCGCAGTTAAATTGGCTTTACTCATAGGCTATGGGATTGACCGAGTTTTTAAAACACAAGAAATCCATTTCCCGGCACCCCATGTATACTTGAAATTGACATAGCGTGGAATTGAAGCTGGCACGTGATGCTAACCCCGAGTCCCTTGTGCGTTTGACAGAGAGTTCCACATCACGGCATGACTCATACTTCCCTCCGGGCCTGACTGCAAGAATATTACTTCCTACACATTTATTTTTACACCATGCATGAACCATTTATCAAAGGTTCGATACTGTTGTTCAATAACAAGTTTTATTGCTAACATAATGAAGACGATATCACTGCAGGTTTAAATATCTTATCTTAAAAGGATCTATTCTAAGTACAAATCAATTTAGTTTCTTTTTTACTGGTCCCTTCCGAGACACAACACAATTGTATATAAAACACTGCAGCCCATCAGCTGTGGAATTGCCCTAGCAATTGGTGACTGTTTCCAAATGCGTCAACGTCAAGCTCCTACCTCGCGCCGTAACTAGCTGATGGCACTAAAGGGCGATGTGGTTATTACATTTTCGTCTTGACTAGTGTCGGCGTTGTGACCCCATGAATCTCCATCACGGCGTCTATCACAGAAGTCCTCCCACGCAAAACACCTAACAGCAGCATCAGAACGGCTCCAGCGGCTGGCGCGCGCTATAGATTGGCTTTTCATGTGAAGCATATACAATTATAGCTTCTCAATTCCAATTACATCTCGTACTTTATTGTGTTCGTTTAGCGGTGTTTATACAGCCTAATATTACGGTTACGCCAGGGGTTCGTTTTATATCGCTTACAATTGCGCTATTATATCCAGAACCATCACACACGTCGTATTTTTCATGTGATAGAAGAGGTAAATAATGCATGAGATGCTTGTCCATCAATAATTGATTTACTCTTGTTTTGCAGTGCATATGTATACAGCTAGATAGATGAGAGCATATATATTATTAATGTAATATCACACAATTATTTACCTCCGTTGAGGTTAATACAATGATCCATTAACCCAGGAAAGATTATTTCTAATTTTTACTATTTATTTCACAGCTCGTTCGTGGGAGATACATTTGCACCCGGCCAACACACCATTAAGAATAATACAATCCTCCGTCTGGACCGAGCAACAGGACATATCCTGGACAGTTTTGGGGCTGACAGGTACCGTCTCTAACTCTGACCTCTCAAATGTTGAGAGACTCTTAAATTAACACCGTTAGAGTTAGTAGGTTAATAGTTCATGTATATTCTAATGAGTAGAATTATGTAAAAGAAAGGAAACGGAGTATAAGGGAATGTATTTACTTAGTATGAACAGGACAGTTATAAGTGATGTTATTTATGTTCTTATATCTATAGAGATGTTATTGTGCAACCCGTTGTACGGTATGTATGCGTTGTAGGCCTGGTCAAGTTAGCCTCATCTAATTAATCCCTTATATTGTTACCGTTTTGTTAAAGGATGCGTCGTGTTATTAGGTAACAATACAATACCACATGGATGAATAAAACTAGAGGGAAAGAGGGAGCTCTATGACGTCACAATTGACAAAAATATTGATTTTGTCCTCCTAATTTCCAGGTTCTATATGCCCCACGGCCTAACCGTAGATCATGCCGGTAACTTGTGGGTGACAGACGTCGGCCTCCATCAGGTAACATTTACTTTTGTGCTACCTACCTCAAATCCAAGACAGTTCCACACTAAACTACCTACCTCCAAGCCAAGAGAGTTCTACTCTAAATATTTGAAAGATAGCTTGCCTGGATGCGAATGTAAATTTCACGTATTTTAATTAATTAACAATTTCAAAGGTACATACGCAATCATGTTATACATTGGTAACACTTTTTACTAATTATCATAATGCTGTCATAAGTATTTTGGGGGAGATAACTCTCACATGAATATTGTGTATGAGGTAGCATATATCCTTAACCTCCGATATAGTCCCCCGAGGCTACAAAATAATTGATTGCCTTTATTCACATAACTGTACCAAATTAAACACGCGTAAATTTTAATTGCTTTAATTTGATCACTTTGAATAGTTTTATATCACCTAGATAATTTGAAGTTTTCTTTTGTAAAGCAATATTAATTTTCCCGATCATAACATCGTAAATATACAATTAATTACAACAGGTTTTGTTTTATTATTATTTTGAAAATGGCGTCGTGTGGCAACAAAAATAAACACCTAAGTTCCAAATCGCACTGCTTTTGTAAGAAAGGGGTACTTAAAATGTCTAAATGTGAAGAATGTTGTTTAGCAATTTACATTAAAAATTTGATGACACCAAAACTTACGTTGCGTATGTGATTTTGGATACTGTAGATATGCGAAAACCGTTTTGGTTACTTTAGATTAATTTTCGTTTTCTTGCCATGACAAAATGGTAAATATATATAAAGTTGAAGCTACTTGTTAATGTCCGGTTATCAAATGAAAAAAAAAACCCATTTAGAACTCGATTCAAGACATGCTAGTCAAAACTCTCTTTTGTAATATATTAGGGTGTGTCAGATTATGACGCACCAATAAGAAAAATCTTGTTTTTCTCCAGGTTTGAGAAAATGGCGAGATTGATAGAATAAGTTTGAAAATACCTTTCTTGTTTTACTGTAACCATATAAGCTATTTGCATTCGTGTTCTTGCTTTTTGTAGGTGATGATGTTCCCCAAAGGCAGCCATGAGCCGTCAGACATCGTCTTGGGCGAGGCTGGGATCCCCGGAAGTGATGACGACCATTTCTGCAAACCGACAGATGTCGCTGTAGCGTCTAACGGCGATTTCTTTGTCTCTGACGGGTAAGACCGAAGTCGTCTAGTGTTGCTTGTCCATAACCTTCCGGCCCCGTCCCGTCCCGTCGCGATTCAATATAAACACTCCGGCAACTTCGTTCTGTCGTTGATTTTAATCAAACTTTATACACGATCAAGTATTTTAGTGCTCCAAGGTCACTGTAAATCAACCACTGATTCATCGTCCTCACCCTAGCTACTTCATTTCTTAACAGATTTTTATCAAAGTTTATACAGATTTCAAGTATGAGATTCATGTTTCAGGATTTCATCGCCGTCAAGGTCACCATTTCTATTTATAGAAAATCATCAACCAAACTGAGTGTAATCGGTCTACATGTGTACCAACGTTATTTCTTAATGGATTTTGTTCGAAATTTATACAGAGGTCAGATGTGATAATACCTCGGACATCTTTAGGTGTTAGGGTTCACAGGTCAAGACCAAGGTCACTGTTGCTATATATAAAAGTCATTAAAAGATTATGTGGCGTCACTCTAGCCACTTCATTTCTTATACTTTGTATATAAATTTCAGGTATGAGAAAACTCGATTCAGGCTGTCAGGATTAAGTCGATGTAACTGATAACAGAACACTATCAAACAGTGAAACTAACTTCACATGGCGGCGGGTGCATACATGTTTTACAGACATGTTCTAGTTTCCTTAGATAGTCATAATGTTCTAGTTTCTTTAGATAGTCATAAAGATTTTTTTTAATTCTGCTCCAGATACTGCAACGGAAGAATCATGAAATTTTCCAAGAAGGGACATCTCTTAAAACAGTGGGGCAAAAAATCCAGCGATGGTAAGATTTGTGATATCTGTCATTTTACAGATGTAACGAATAGTTTCGCCTGTATATACACGTACAAGTAAAACAAATATCTTAAACTTTGATGCAAGTCTCGAAGTGCAGTCCATTGCATCCTCGATACTCCAGGGGTTACGCTCACTTTCGCTACCTGCGCAGAGCGAAATTTGGAGCAACTCCTGGGGAATCGAGGATGAGTCCATTGGCCAGTAGAAAAAAAGTATGACAGCAAATCCAGTTTGAATGAAACAAGAATGCGTCCAGATATTTTTAAAGACATTTTACGTTATGGTTGAACTATCATCATGTCTTTCCTGAAGTAGTTTTCCATTCTTAGTTTATGTAACCTTGGTTGCAAGTTTTTCGGGATAAGCATTGGAGGTATATAAATTAACAAAGCTACACACATATACAATTATATCTTTCTTAGATAAAAAGACGTACATGTATGGTTGTATACGTCTCGACTCAAGTTGCGGATAGTACACTTTTGTTGCACCGACGTACAAAACTAGAGCGCTACTTGCACTTGTAGATGTAGTTGTCCGAGCAAAATCTAGAGCTACCAATGACGTCAGATAAAGACAAGTGTGTGGTACATGCATTACTTATATGCAAATGCTATCACTAGCCCTTCACCACTGGGT